TGTATTCGAATCCTTAAAATACAAACCATTCACATGAGTAGAAAATGTAGGCATTTTCGCTTACGTACACCGCATATATTTTGGTTTCATGAATATTTTGCATTCGGTGCTAGGAATTAGAAAAAAAGAACATAAACTTTCAAATCTTCAAATTGGCAACACATCGAGAGGTTAAAAATCATTGTTTTCGATAAAAACTGGCATTCTGATTCAAAGTCCGGTGACGTGTCCAGAGACATAAAATTACCGTTCTCAGTACAGAAAAAGCATTTTATTATACACAGTCACCTGCTTGTTTATAACTTTGGAGCGACGAAGATCGACTTAATGATTCTCATTTGATTTGAGAGAAGTGCTCTTGATATAAATGTACATGTATGTTTACATAGGGAGATCATAAACAGTCAAAATCTCACATCATTTCTCCAACATGATACAATGATTAATGTTTAATAATGCAGTTAGCAGCAAGTATACATTATTGTTCTACAAGAAAGCAAGTCTACAACACGGCATATAACTGAAAGAGGTAAATTAACAATGTATGCTTAAAACTAATTCCAATTTAGGGGCATATATCGCAAATAAGCAAGACAATGTCTGCAACAACACACATTTATTGACTAATCTGTCAATAAATTCCGAACTAAATAAACATGAAGGTATATGTAATAACTGAAGTGCATGTTCATTAGTTTGGCACAAACAACAACAACAACATCACACGAATTACAACTCCATCTGGAAAGGATCAGTAAAAATGTAATTACTGTTATCTGGCAACTGTTATTCATAACTTTTGTTGAATTTTTTTGGTTTTGTTATATGCTTGATCAGTCACACACAATTAACTGATAAAGCTCAAACTAACGAATTCCTCTCTATCATAAAACAACAAAAAACATATAGACTGTAAAGAAAAAAAAAGAGTTTCATCCCATAGTTAGCCACTTAAAACGATATTCTGTAATAATAATTTTACAACAATTTCACTATACGAGCACACACAATTTCTTTTAAAGCTTTACCAATTTTAATTGCTTTTACATGCATTTTCACAGATCCTTTAGTGGCATTCACTCTATACGCATATCAAAGAATCATTACTTATACATACTGCTAGTACACAGTATTCCATAATGTCAGATTGTTTAGTTCTTACAAAATAATGTCATATAACTTTGGAGGAAAATATAATTAACTTCATTGTGATTATCATCATCCCATAACGATTTATTTTTCACATACAGGCAAATGGAATATCCCAACCCAAAAGTCGCTCAAAACTTTAGTGGCCAGGAGATCCTCTCATTGTAGATTAAATCGGTTGCAGTGTTGCTTAATCAGTTCCTCATTGGATTGGTATGTATGCTGACTGCTCAATTGAGGGCGGCCCGGGTGGAATTGACCTTGAAATTTCAACATGAAAACAAAAAGCCCATATTTATATATCAACCAACGATTTTCATCTTTGACCTGTGACTTACTAATTAAAAAACTCTGACTGGAGCACCTGTATATGGTTATATTATCACCATAATTGAAGCTTACACTTTAAGAAATTCTTGACATATTGTGGGAACAATTAAGGAAATACCTTTATTTTCAAAAATTAAACTCTATGACTTTTAAAAAAACACACAATATTTACCCCTACAATCCAATGATCTTAAATTATATAGTGATGAAAACTATAATAATGTTTAAAGATTAACCATCACATGGTTATTGGGATACCGCGATATCAAGGCTAATACTTGCAATATCAGAAATTCACCTTTATGACCTTTGACCTTTGATTTACGTACTCTAAAACTGGATAAGATCGTCTTCCTATGGTGATGTTTTCACCCGGTTTGAATTTCATAACTGATGTAATTCTTTAGATTTCGCGATAACAAGGCTTATAAGAGTAATTTTCAGAGATAGATTCCTATGACCTTTGACATAACTTCCCTAGAATCTAATCAGATTGTTTTTATATGATGATGCACACTGTCACCAAGTTTGAAGTTCATACCTCCGGTAGCTCCTGAGATATCGCGATACTAAGGCCAATACCTGCAATAACCAACAAATGACCTCTTTCACCTATGACATTTGACCTACTTACTCCAAAACGTAATCAGATCGTCTACGTAAGGTGAAACACACTGTCACCAAATATGGAGTTCAAATCTCAAGTGATTCTTGAGATACCGTGATAACGAGAAAGCGGGACGGATAACCCATAAACATTCCTCCGTGACTACCTTCGTGGGCGGAGGCACGAATTAAAAACGCCTAATTAACAGCTCATTAACTGATTGTTTCAGTTTGTGCTTCGCTGTCGTTCAGTCTGTATACACCACAAACAAGAAATAACGAAAATAAATAACATAAAAAGCATTTGTAACTTACATACTTGCAGGTATCTCCCTCGTTATGCATAGTTGTTTAATTTGCCTTCTTCCCATTGACCGCATCTTAGTCCAAGTTCATTTTCCGAGTAGTGATCTGAAATAAAAGGAAAGGGATCCCTTTCTTTAATAACCTCGTAATATAACTATAGACATGAATCTAGAAAACACAGACAATGCAAACGAAAGACATGTTTTCTTTAGATAAGCAGTTATTATCATCTATTGCATCTGGATATACCTTTCCACAATGCCGAATATCTGAACATCACAATAATAATAATAATAAAGATACATTTAACATGAATCTTCTGAGGATTCTTTTCGCACTTGTGAAATATGACTCAAAATTTCCTTAGATCAAATCTTCTCAAAGTTCCTTTTGATAGAAAATCTTTTTGGCAAATATAATCCATGCAATATGGTGGCAATAAAAAAGCGTGACACCGTGCCTAAAATTGACATCACAAGCTAAAGTCAAACCTGTATATTAAGGTCACCAAAGGGAAACATGTGGCCTTTCTAGAAAGGTTGAACAATTTTCTTTCTTGAGGGTGACGAAGTATATGGATACTATTCATACAAAGGTGGTCTTTATAGAGAGGTGGTCAAAAGACAGGTTTCACTGCATCTGCAAAGTAAATCATCTTTGAAGCGAAAAGGGCGTTCTCTCAGAGACTATACAGCATAGATGTAATTGCCTTCTGGTTCTGAACAGATAATATATAAATATTACCATAATTGATAAAATGTGATTATTCATGATCCCACAAACTGCGTGAAGTATCCAAATGACTCACACCACCGGCCGCTTGCTTATCTCGTTACCCAATATAAGTATATTTTAAATTTGACCATCATGACCGAATAGGCCTTTTACTTAGCTATAACGAATAACCATATAAGCCTTCTAAGCGACTTTTGGGGTGGTTTTGTGAAGGAGGTTCACAAATTCGCTCATTGTCTGCATGTACTGCACATGCGCGGTACACCTACCAATCGCTGATTACCTAATACTTTGCCTTGAAAAACACTGTTCTTTTACATTTTTGTCTCTCTGACGGGTCTAACGTAATAGTACAGTAGAAAGACAATTTAACCTCGGTCTTAATTTCTTTTGTCAAAAGCGAGTTTAGACCAGGCGTCAGGTTTAACTTAATAGAGCACAACCTTATCGTGATATGATAATTTTCCCGCCTCAGTTACATTCGCATCTTATTGTGTTCCCCTTTATACCCCTGGATGGGGAAAAGCAAAGCAGAAACAATGCATTACTCAGGGACGTAAGTGCCATACTGAGACGTTACTCAATTATTGTCGACTATCTTACACCTATATAATACGGGCATCATTGTGGAATGATAGCTATGTCCATATGAACCTAATGAGTGAAAGATTCAAACATACCATAGGGTTGGATCGTGTAGTTCAGGTTGGATTCGTTGAACGTGACCGTGGTATTATCCAAAATTAGGATACTCATGTGGACCAGATTCCCGTTGCAATCTTTTTTCAACAGTCGATACGCTGTGTCAATATTGCATTCATTGATGTCTTCTCCGTTTGACATAATACATGGTAACCCGTTCACCAGAGTGTCGTAGATGATGTCAAAGGTTGAGTTTGGTGGTACCCTGTATGTTCCACCTGGTGGAGATACACTTGGTTCTTGCGGTGCTTGATATACTATTCGGGAGAAGAAAAAATGATAAGCATGTAAATAACACACAACACATTGTTGTTGTTGTTGTTGTTGTTTGGTGAATATTTAATCGAGTGCGATTATAATATGGTTCTCTATATAACCACATGCATTATCAGTTAAAACAGCTTTTCTCGAGAGACCTGTAATCATCATTACCCCCTAAAATAACCTTGGTCTAGAAAGACCCGTATGACTTTCCTTACCCGACGGCTTGCCGTGTATTTTAGAGACCGTACGGGACTCTCCCGATTTCCACATTTCTACGGCATGTGTGGTCAAATAGTCTGTGGCGTCCGTATGGTTCTCTTTACGGGCTTTGTACGGCCTAATGGTCGGATGAAAGCGCCGAGAAAATTGGTAAATATTGGTGGATTTGAAACGCAAGGCGCTCCATTCTCTACTCTGCTGAGTGCAAGCTGAGCTAGGTCAGTAAAGCTTCATTCAAAGCTATTCTTCAATTCCCATCAACCATATTGATCCGGGAAAGAATCCCTCTCTGGACGCTCCGTCATACATGTTAGCATTATAATCAGATGATGTCATTACTAAAAAAGCACACACCCGAAAAACCCAAATAAAGGGGAAAATGGTTCCTGACATATCAATTCCTTTCATAGCAAAAGCGCTCCTCACAATTTCTGTAAATTTGGCCGTTTAACGCTACGCGTACCGCCTTGACCGGACTGTGCGGTATCTGTGCAGTTCTGTGTGTAGAGAGGTCGGGCTGTATTCATTATTTCTTGGGGGTGCATAAATTGCTCTAATTATACGTACGCGTGTAATGCGCAAGTTTATTGTGACGGCACTAAACCCATCCCACTCATTGTTACCCTATTTTCATAATGGTACTGACCCAATGAAATGTAGTGCAGTGCGCTCGTACGCGCTGCGCTGCGTGTGTACATGTACTGTACTTATGCATGTTCAGTTATATGTGTATGCATAGCATTACGTACATGCATACGGCTAGCTGGCACAAAACCCTGGGTCGGGCTTCTAAAATGGGACATGAAGCATGATTTGACATGAAAAATGACGGAGCTAAAAATGAATCAATCAAAATGAAATTTATATGTATGAAAAGCTTACGTATCATATGTCATTGTCTGTGATTGAGGATTTACAAATTTGACGCAAAACGCGTTGCTGCAAAGTTAAAGATTGGTTTATTGAAAGGCAATCGAGCACAGTACGACCGATCCATTGACATTGTGTATGAGAGAGTAATTTTTTTTAAATGGATTGTAAAGTTCAACGTCAAAGTGACGGAGGTTTTTTTTCAAGTAAGGGCATGGTTTTACATGGAATGTAAAGGAAATGTTTCCTTCTTCTCATATCTCGATTGAGGATATTATTCTCAATTTCGATTTTTAATGGTAAAGAAAAGTGTAAAAAGATGTCGAGAATTTTACCATATGTCATGTAATATAAAATGCGCGCGGGTCGGTTGATCTCCCAAAAGGAGCGCGAAGGAATTGATATGAAATCCTGTGGAAACACAAGATATAAATGACAAAAATTGGATACGTACCGGTGCAATCACTTAAGAGATCAACATTATCAAGTGTTGTAACCAGGTAGCTGTTGTCAGGGGCAAGCTCCAAGTCTTTGATGGGACGAGAAACTACAGGATTCTGTAAATTGGAACAGAAACAGAAAGAAAGGGCGAGAGAAAGAGAGTTTCAATATCAATTTATGGACAATAATTATCATGAATATTAACAAAGAAAGTAAAAGTACTTACAATTGTATAGATACTACTGCAGTCAGTGTAGAAAAAATAAGAAGAGCACAGGTCAAGATTGGTTATTAACAATGCAGGGATAATTCTTCATATTATTTATAATGGAAGACGTGATATATAATGTACGCAAATATGAACGGACGCCTGTAACAACTGTAATCTCAGATCCTCAATACATTCATACAAGCAATTCACATTATGAAGTGTTAATGATTATTACGGTCGTTAACTTCACGCACGCGGGTGCACCCGCATCCCATCGTCGGTAGGCACTTGTATTTTGCAGCGGTTTGCCGTGAAACCTGTGAGAAAAAGCATGTCTTCGTTTTGAGGAAAAATACTCCAAAAAAAAGGTAAGATAATCGACACGAAACAGGTAAGAAAGATAACGATTTTTGAACCATGAGCATTATTTGAATAACTGTTGAAGATTTTGTTGATTTTGTGTATGTTATAGTAGGGTATCTCCACACCGGAGTCGTGGGTCGAAAATATTGTCACACACTCACAGTTCTGAACAAACGCTGACAATTGACTACAGTAACATCAAACCGTGTGGCCCGAATTTACAAAGAAGGTTTGTCGACAAACATCCTTTATGAATTCGGGCCAATCAGTTCTAGCCGGAGCCCGGACTAGAGCTCGACGAGGCGCCTGAGGTAGAGGCAGAAGCAGACCTAATATGCAGTACAGTGCGTCCCAGAAAAAACGAAACCGTAGACGAAAGACTTCATGCATGGCTGATTGTCAACGAAACGGAGTTAAGTCTTTTGTTAATTCCGTTTGTTGCTACGGCAGTCAGCCAGTGAAAACGAATTTGTTTAATACAATTAAGGAAATACAAGCACTGTTTTAAACAAACAGAAATCTGCTATTCCTAGTTCTTTTTTCCTGATTGAGGTGTCATAGGAAAGAGCAGATACTCAACTTACTGGAAATGTGATTTTCTCTTTGAAATTCAGCTACCGTCCGCCAACTGACTTTTTGGTTTCCTCTTTCAAATTGATTTTAATCACTCATGCGTGAAATATGCATTATACGAGTAGTATCAAATGAAAGAAAAGGATCTAAGCTTGACAAATATGTGTCATTTATCAATTATAATTGTGATTAAGTTATGATAAAAACATCGATAATTCTCGCTTTCGTTTTTTCCGGGACGCACTGTAGATTGTCAACTGACTCAGACTGATAACATATAGACCAGATATAACTTTAGTCTAGACTAAACCTTTTCTCAGCTGCAGTCCTCCACAGTCTTCTCCTTTTTTGCATCCTAATCCTGTCTTGGAGGCTTGATATTATTGGCAGATCCCAGCCATAGAATTGGAAAAAAAGAAAAAACTAAGCTGCAATCTCAAAGCAACTATGCCAACTCATAATGATAAAAATAAACACCGTGGACTCTTTGCCCACTCGTTTTATATATTTTTTTAAGGAAACTGACGCCAGGCTGACAAGAACACGCACGCAAAATAATGAAAAGACTGCCTGCTCTCGACTTTTTGGTGAAAAGTAAGATGATTTAGGCATTAAAATGTCTTTAAAAATGCAAACTATAATATTATTTTTAAAAAAGACATTTATCCGAGAAATAATATGCACTTGATAATCCCAGAACGTTTCTGGCCATTCGTCATTCCCAATTATGAATTACAATGAGATTGTAAGATCCTTTGTTGTAGGACAAAAGTACAAGGACATTCCTGCAATCCTGTAAAATGCGTCATCAAGCCACGGGACCGTGTTTATCATTTTTTGGTCAATATAGACATTTTCTGAAAAAAATTAGGCTGGAAAATTAAAAAGTAGAGATGTGTTGATGTTTTGAAATACTAAGTTCGTTGGTTTGGAGGGGCCCTTTAATGTGTAACTCTATGGTGGAACAGTGTTCTGTGTTGAAGTTGCATGGTGCTGTTCACGAGTGTTGCATACAAATTGCATAGCCGGGCAGTGATGGAAAACAAACACGTGACTTAAATACTCGTTTGGCATTGGCTGCAATACTTGTATCTGTCTTATAACATATTACGTTACTTTCCTAGAAATTAACCCACTGCCTAAATGAACCGGGTGGTCCCTGTAAAAGGTAAAGACCAGTATTGGAAACTCTCCAATTTCAAAACATTAAATGGAAGCTCTAATTACCAATCATGTGGAAGAATATGTTTTGACTAATTCATGATGATAACATTTTTGCCAGGAAACCGCCTACTAATTGATATATTTGTAAATTAGTTTATCGTTTGGTATATGAGAGATAAACGCACGTGTCACGCACGTGTGCGTAGTCCCAAATACATCTTTCAGTGAACAGTGCTTGTAACTTTACCAAGACTGGGCCAAATTTCTTATCATTTTGATGATTCCAGAACCTTGCAATAGGCTACACACCAATACTTATATGCTAGATGATCAACCTTTTCTGATCGATTCCACAACGTTTATTTCACAAAGCAATCGCATGACCATAACTGGTCTTTATCTTTAAGCCTAAGGGATTAAGATAACTCGTAGTCGAAGGGTAAAATTAATAATTTAAAGATCTTTTACTCACGTGACAAGGATCTCCCAAATCTGGTTCGGTAGTATCTACTTCAACCTCGTACAGGCATCCCTTTTCTGTGAAAATCAAGATTAAAGTGATACGGCATACAATACGGAACGACCGAAAGCCTTCATCAGATATACCGTTATAAACCACAGCAATTTGTTTTAATAATGACACAAAGTGTTTAAATTTCGCAATTTCCTATCTTATAACATAATTCATTACACGTAGGATTTTTGATGCGCGAAGTTGCCGTTAATTACATTTAAAAAGGGGACAAAAACAGTAACTTTTGGGGTGACGTTTAAGTGCATCGAAAATCAGGCCAGTTTGAATTATATAGTTAATACAAGGAATTAATTGACAAGATATTCCACAAGATGCCTCCATCTGTACAAAGATTAAAGCAACATAAGAATAGTTTTAGCCATTCTGAAAATGTGTAATGTTCAGGGATGCAGATTTGAATATTAAAGAGGTGTGCTTTTTAAAGAAATTTCACACCATTATGCCATGTTGTAAAGGTGTTTTTAAGAGGACGATTAACCTTTTTGTGAATGCTTATTTTGTTAAGCCCCAAAACACATCTAGGCTATGAAACTATTTAAATCCCATTTTAAAACCCGTTTTTTAATAACAAAATATGTGGGCAATTATTATATTAGGAGGTAGTTATTGGTTGCTCTAATGATCATGCGTTACACCTTTGGAAATGAAGTGACTGACTGGAATGCTCCCCAGGGAGTGGAGATTGTGCACACAGTGTGTGCGGGCAAGCACTGAATACAATGACCGAGGTAATAGTATATTTGTAAAGCGCTTAGGGGAGCCTTCCAAAGTTGCGACTGTGCCGCGACGCGTCGGGGCGCAGAGCAGGATATGAGAACAAAGGAGGCGCCTTTATGCGCCCATTAGCGCCTTTTTGCGTCGGATAGGAGAGGACTTCAGTTGGTTGCCAGCTCATTAAAATCTGGCTATTGTTTGGAGTCTCATTGTTACGAAATTACCCCGCCGGGGCGCGCCCCGGTGAAGCGCTTGACATTTGTGAATGGGAGATTAAACTTTGAATAGCTTTCGCGCCCTTTCGCGCCCGGTCCGGCGCATTATTTATTCATGTAGTGCCCGCTTGTGTGTCGCTCTCGTCTTGCGAAATTTGACTCTGAAAAGCATTACTTTGGCTACTGATTTGTTTTAATATTATTTTACATACATGACATTGGTTACAATGTTTGTTCTGATTGTTTATTTTCCTCTCAAAATCGGAGTTCTGTAGGCGTTAACGTTGGCATGATTGTTCATTTTTTTCATCTCCTCCTGTTCTGTTCATGATTGTGTTCAATATACTGTATCAATTTTAATACAAATTGATTTCTTCACGAAAAAAACAAATTTATTTTATACTTACCCCCACTCTCTCTGACATTGTTTTCCTCGTGCATGTTTTGACACTTTAATTGTAATTTTATATTTCCTTATAGCGATGTTATCGCATGTTTCGATTTTCTTGTTTTTTTTAAAACAATTTTTGTTGCATCTTGTAAACAGTTCTGTCGTATGATCATTATAAATCATATAATTATATCATCAGTCTGTTATTTCATAGATCCTTTGAATCTTCTTAAAATTAGAGAACGTATTTTTAAATCCGTGATGTTGAAAATGATACTTAATCCAGAATGTCGTAGTTTCTCCATGAATTGGATTTAAAAAGCGTTTTATCTGTATTACGATGTTTTTTTAATGCAAATGATATCCGTATTGTCGGGAACATCATCAATATGTTTCGTTAGAAGGAAGACGCTCATTTTCAGAATGTTCTTTCTTTGCAAAACACTAATGTTACGAACAAAATTAAATACACTGTGCCCGTATCAAAGAATTTTATCGAATATTTCTTTGCGACGAAGGGGGGGGGGGGGGGGGGGGTTACATCCGCGGCCAGTTTTAGATCTAGGTCATTGTTAAGAATAACTAAAATACGTATATATTGTGCTGAATAGGGGCCACGTGTTATCGAAAGAGCGTAGTGCGTTCTAGAACAAATACAAGCCATGGCAATTCGTTGAATTGCTTCTCGTAACAGAACTGTCTCACCGTCTAAATAAGGATCCATCAGGGGGATCCATCATGCACGTGTTGGTATCAAGTAGTAAACGGAATTAATAATGATTGCGTTGTTTTGGGACATTTTTTTTCGGGGGGGGGGGGGGGCAGGGAGCCCTTATTCTTCTTCTACTGGGTCATCAAGAAACACAAATAGTGTTGAAATTTTCCGCAATCCCTTTAGCGCCGAGGGTAGAAAAGCCTTTAGAAAAGTCAGCTGGACAATAGCAATTTAATGTTGGTCAAACAATCAGCGAGAAATACTGGGCAAACAGATATTAGCCCACGTCTTTAATATAACCAGGGAATCCCGATATAACTAAGCACATGCTCACAATATGAATATCAAATCTGGCTATTGTTTGGAGACTCATTGTTACTGTCTGGTAAAGGGGTACTTTTCACGCACCAAAGTCCGGCTCGTCTAGTACACACAAATCCGGCCCGTATTGACTTTACACACCGGACTTAGGGGACTGTTTTCAAAAGGAGGGAAAATGCATATGCGTACCCTACATAACACTCATTCGGGGTGGGGGGGGGGGGGGGGGTGCGCTTAAAGGCGAAGCGCTTTTTGTGAATTGTGAATTTGTGAATTTGAAAAGCTTTCGCGCCCATTCCTACGCATTAGTTATTCATGTAATCCTCGCGTGTGTGTCCGCTCTCATCTTGAAAGATTTGACTCTAAAATTTTCACGTTGGCTACTGATATGTTTTATTATTATTTTACGTACAAGACATTGATTTAGATTGTTGTTCTGATTGTTATATTCCTCCCAAACATCGAAGTTGTGTAGGCGTTGACGTTGTTATGATTGTTCATTTCTGTTCATTAATGTGTTCAATACTTGTATTATATTAATTTCTTCACGAACAAAACAAAAACGATATGTATAATTGTATTCCTTCTGTATGTTTTGACACATTATTTGGTTCATATTACATTTATTTTGTTCTGTCATCCGATCAAAATAGGTCATATATCTATATCATCACTCTGTTCTTTCTCATGCAAGATCGATTTAAAGAATAGAAACGTAGGTTCTCTAAATCTTCGCAAAATCAGCTATTGTATTTAAATACCCGTGATTTAAAAAATGATACTTATAATCAAAGAGATTGAAAGATTCGGCTTGAAATAAGATTATAGGGCGTTTATAAATATGTCATACAAAACAAACAAACATCTGCAAATTAAAGATATTACAAAAATGATAGTCGTATTGTCGGGAGCCTGCATCATCAAAACGTTTCGGTAGATGGAACAATTCGAAATCGCCTATCTGTTCCAAACATGAAATTCGATCGAATATTTCTTCGCGAAGAAACTTTATTGGTGGTGTCATTTGTCTTAAAGTAGATATTCATTGATTTTAAATCTAGCTTTATTTTCTTTATTGCAAAGTTGAAACTTTGATTCGACAAGGTTATCAAAATTCAATGCTTGGAAACATTCGAAGTAATGATTATTATAAATTACAAAACGCTTAAATACAGCCCCGGCATAGCACCTGAATAGCTCTCCGAAGGCTGCTGAGATGTGTGAGATCACAGCAGGGACATGATTTGCACAAGCAGACGATGTCCCATGACATCTCACACATTTTCAGTGCCTGTGTTTTCATCTTCTCTTGAGTTCTTTCTCTTACTTCACTACCGTCAGGCTAAATGTGTAATCTATTGCCTCACTCTAAACCCCGCGCATGGTTTTATTTTGATGACAAATGCAGCGATACAAAAATAAAGGAATCTGTCGCTTGTAAACAAAATAAGACGCCATTGTATATTCAGCTGCAGACACCGCGGTATGTTCGGCGTTTTAAGAGGGAACAAATGCCGCCCTTAATATCAATCCGGGGGCTTTTCAATTTGAAAGTCTGGTTTCTTTGATTGTTAATTAACCCCTATCCTGTGTATTTACAAGCAAAAGATTTTAGTTATCAGAATCGGGTCATGTCCCCTTTTGATCGGTTTGACGTGCCAGTACATTTATATACACTAAACTCATTATAATTTGACAAATAATAGCTTTGCAATTATGTTCATTCTTTATGGGATGTCGTCTGCTTGGGCAGTATTGGTCCCTGTTGTGACGTCATTAAAACATCGTTTTTTTTCTGGCGAATCTCTCGTATATCCCAGCTGCTATGGAGGTGGTTGTATTTTTATTTTTATAAATCACCCGATATGTAGCTGACCTCAAACTTGTACGATGGCCATCTGTTAGCTTACCAGTTTCTAGTAATACATTAGTTGACATATTTGTGATTTTCTTTGAATTTCACCTTTAACAATTTGTTATCTTCAATGTTCGTGACGTTTTGACGTTGCATATTTGTTAGCTAGCGCTAGTAAAGTCTTTTGTTTTAACGTGCACTGTATATAGTTATAAGGCCTGAACACGTCATGTTCACATTGGGTGTTATATAACATACGGATATTATAGTACATGTAACTTTTAAAAGCACTTTGTTTTTGCAACGCAATGACAAAAGACAGCTCTTTGAGCAGCTAATAGTTGTTGCGCTCATAGGCGGCTATTCCCAATTACCGGGCATTATTTGTTATTGTATCATTAGTTAAGTTTATTAATCTATTCATGTTTTCTATTTATTTATTTAGTTTTGGGGAGGGGATGTCGTATTACGAATTCATGACCCTTATACATAATGACCATGTTCTCAAATTACGAATAGCGGTCTTCATGAATAGTTGTCCAATGAATAGCGGTCCTTATAACTAGCGAGCAACCTTAATGTGTAGCTAAACAAGAATCTATAGCAAGTCGGACAATTATAGCGATCAAACAATAGTCTTGCTTGGCCGCGTGAAATCCTGCCACGGCATTCTATGTTTTTACCTTTAGAGCGAACTTTTCTTTTGTATTCGCTCCATAGAACTCTACTTTATCTTACAGCGAGGTGAAATGAAAAGAGCGTCATCATGAGTAGATCTATTGTTTGATGTTATCCTTCTTCTCCCTAGTTAAGCCAAACCTTCAATTTAGGCCTATCCATAAAAGGTAGCTTCCTGTACCGTTCGCTTTTTTTTTCCTGACTGCTATATGAAGCATGTGTATGCTCTGAATTAGGCAAACAGGGGACCGGCGGGTTTAAGCCCCAGTCCCATATAAAGCCGGACCAGCACGGACGAGCACGGACCACTCCGGACCATCCCGGACCATGGTCTGGGGTGATCCGGGATGGTCCGGGATGTATTGTTAAAAAAAGTGTGATGCTTTTAAGCTACAGTCCCATATACGTCCCGGACCGTCCCGGACCATCCCGGACCCCATCCGGGGTGATCCGGGATTCGGTCCGTGTTGACACCGTGTTGGCACCGGGGTGGTCCTGGATGGTCCTGGATGGTCCTGGGCGGTCAATAACTCACTCCCGGACTGCCACGGATCAACACGGACCGCCCCGGCGCCACTACGGATGACCCCGGACCCAGCACGGTGGCTACACGGATCACCCCGGATCAAACTATTGTCCCGGACCGTCCCGGACCACCCCGGCAGTTTTTGACCGTCAAAAACATCCGGGGTCGACTCCCGGACCGCCCAGGACCATCCAGGACCATCCAGGACCATCCAGGACCATCCAGGACCACCCCGGTGCCAACACGGTGTCAACACGGACCGAATCCCGGATCACCCCGGATGGGGTCCGGGATGGTCCGGGACGGTCCGGGACGTATATGGGACTGTAGCTTTAAGATCCTCTCCGAACGAAATGTAATGTTGAGTTATGCCTTACAATAGCATATCGACTTGGTTTCTAACCAGGGAGCTCCCGGTTACGAGCTGCTCTGCTCTACTACTGGGCTATAGCGCCTCCCTCCTTTTAAAAAGATCTTTTAAAATTTGCCGGGTTTTTTTTTTTAGAATAAGAATCAAAACATATTTGGTATGTTTTTTGTATCTGTGCATTAAGATTTCAAAATTTCACTTTCGCCACTTAATTATACAAATCTACGAATAAATGATTCGAATGTTAGAGCAGAAATCAATGTTTGCAATCGTGTCGAATGATTAATTATCATCATGAACTGATTAATGTTTTGTATTGCATTTCCAATTGCTGCTCAACTTTATCACCATCAGGCTACGCTTTTTTGTTTACATCTTCATGACACACGTGTTTTATAATCTCGATATAGTTCCCGGACTCTTTTTTCTATTTATTGCACTTTTAAAAAGAGCTATGGAATTATTATGATTTAAAACGCCTTTTGGACGGGCAATTTTCGAAGGCAAATCTCGGGCGTGAAATCCTGCCATGGCATTTTATGTTTTTTTTTCCCTGAGGACACTTAACAAAATATACATGTTTAGCGTCCCCGCCTGCTTCCTTTTTGGGGGCCGCCTCCTATTTTTTATTTTTGGGGAAATTTGTTTTAATTTTTTTTTTTTTTTAATTTAAAAAAATTGAAAAAAAATTGAAAAAAAAACACATGAAAAACAATACTAAAATGGATCTATTACTGAATTTTTTTAAAAAGTTAAAAGATTTCGGCGGCCATCTTGAAAAATAGCCCGACTGTCAGGGAAAATGTACCGAGCGGCCATTTTGAGCGGCCATTTTGAAAGAAAAAAAAAAGAAAAGAGAGGGCCTCCTCCTTCCTAGTTTTCGAAAAAACAGGACACTAATAAATCATTTTTTTATTTGGCCTTAGAGCGAACTTTTATTTTGTATTCGCTCCGTAAAACTCTACTTTATCAAACAGCGAGGTGAAATGAAAAGAGCGTCATCTTGAGTAAATCGTTTGTTTGATGTTATCCTTCTTATCCCTAATAAGCAAACCTTTGATTTATTAGAACCAAGTCATGGGAGGAGAAAAAAAAGGATTTGACTGACAAAATATAAATTCTTCCAAGCTCAGGCTGTGGCGATGTGCATTGCGTAGCGTGAATATTAATGACGGGAGAGAAAGATAATTCCTTTGTCCATTATACGACGCTAGAATCATATCGCGATGTGGGAATTATACAAATATGTTGATAATCATTCAAATTACAAACATACACAAGCGACCCAAACAGTAATCAATTTGCCGACTATAACCGCATACATGTGGTCATTCACATCATTCGTCTTTTATTTTTTGTTGTTGGGGACAATTAAGCTCGCAATTAAACAACCATTAATCGTACATAGTCATCTTTATTTCACATTTAATACAGTCGTCACAAAAATTAAAAGGAGGCGTATTAAACCCAACAAAAATAAATCATAATGTATTCTGATCAAGATGAACGAGTGTGTTGATTGCCCCCCCCCCCCAAAAAAAAAACAAAAAAAAAAACAAAACAAAGACGATCCCACCAGAGAAGTTCATGCTGTGCTGTAGTAATGTACATCGCAAAGCTTCGCCACAATGATTGGAAAGGTAATACCCCGCCCGTTACGACGCAAAACGGCGCGAGAAGAATAGATCGCGACGCGAGAAGAATACATCATTTTTGTACAAACAATGGAAAGTTTATCAGAACGAAAACCGTAGGAGGGGAAGTCAGGCTTTGGCCGACAAATACTTTCTGTATATCAAGTTTAAGCTGTACTGCGCATCACGAGCGAGAACAATGACGGGAGAGATAATCTTCCATCGCCTGGTGGGACGCAAAAGGGCGCAAGAAGAATAGAGCGGGTTTATACTAACAATAGACGGTTTCTTTTCATATGCAAGAATCAGGTGAGGGTGACTATTGCGCCCCTTCGCGCCCCTTTGCGCCTCAATGCGTCTCTTGGGACGCGACTGTTCTATTCATCGCGCCCCGACGCGTCCGGGCACAGTCGCAACTTTGGAAGGCTCCCCTTAGAGACATCTGTAATAAGCGCTATATAAAAGCTAATTATTATTATTATTATTTACTACCTGAGGAAATAATGTAGATTTCTTTGCCGTTTTTAGAAGTCATTTCCAAATCAGAGAAGCGGTCCCCAAGCAGGAAAAACTGAAGTGTCCCAACTGCATGGTCACTCATTAGGTTGTAATCACGCTCAAAGTCTGTTTCGGCTGTGTTTGGATCGGAGCACTACAAAGGGGGAATATGGTTAGATAGCATATATGTTAAGCCAGGAGAAGATTGGTTGAATGATGAATACAAAGCATCCTTTAAGTCATAAGACTTTATATTCACTATTCATTTCATATATTATAACCTAATCAACAATTTCCCCTCTTTGTGTGCTAAGAAATAAAAAGAATACCATATAGGTGTTACACAGCATACCATTTTGTTCTCATTTTAACTCGGGCAGAGGTACACATCAATACGGTTTGTAGGAGAAATTTATTTGTGATATTAAATTCACACCAAAATAGGCGACTAGGGAGTTTATGACAATACATTGTCATTACAGAGTTGTCAGTTAGCCTTCATTAGATATTGATCTTCATATCATTCATTACATTCAACAACACAAATCATTAGATGTCTGATTTTTCTCAAACCTTTTGTTTTAACAAGATTCTCTGACTTTTTAAAGAAAAACTTGGTCATGCCTGTTTCTCTTGAGAAGGAGAAGATTGGGTTCTTGCACAGACGAAGAATAATTCGTGAGCTTTATCATTCTCGTTATGTTAATTTGGAAGTATATCACAGTAGAAATGTTCCCTAAAATAGGTCGCTTTTTAAATGCCCTACTTTCAAAGTAATACGAAATACACATGTCAAGCATGAGCCAAACGTTTATGCCACATGTGTGTGCAGTTCAAAACACCCATTTCTGTTCCCGGTTTATGTAATTTTTGAGTCAGTCTACTTTCATTTGAGTGATTCCAAAATCCTAAAGTAAACATTAATTGTTATGAACTACATGCATACACGAAACCAACATTTTCCAATAGCTTCCATATTTGTTTTCTTTCAAAGAATAATTGCAAGACAGGTAATTAAAATTTAACTTGAAAGATGGACTTACATTCAAACCAGGCCTCGGCGACACTTCATCTCCATCATATACTCTCCAAAGATCATTGGTAACCGCACCATCAGCCCCGAAGAAATCACCCTCATTAAATGTCTCATTGATTGAAGTCAGATCGAAAACACAGAGAGCTGTTTGTGGCGCTTCATTCCTGGAGAAAAAATAACACACGATATTATTATTATCATTATTATTATTATTATTATTATTATTATTATTATTATTATTATTACTATTATTATTATTATTATTATTATTATTATTATTATTATTTTTATTATTAATATTATTATTATTATTATCATTATTATTACTTATACCGCTTTTCCAATAAGGCCCAAAGCGCTTACAGTGAATAAAAAAAATACATAAATACATATAATTAGAAAAAAAACAGTCTTACAACTACAAACTGCAAACAAAATTAAGGCCTTTCTGAAGGTAATAACTAATTCGAAGTGGTAAATCATTCCAATATTTTGAAGCAGATACAGTAAGTGTCCAATCACCGGCTAATGGGCGGGTAACTGAATATGTGAGACGGAGAGGATCACTGGCCGACCTCAATGCCCTGGCAGGTGTATATAAGTTCAAACAGGTATCATTAATATTTTTGAGCAGAAAGTATGAAAACTCATATAATGATATGATAATAGATATTTGGACATTGCAACCACTGCACCGTTCACCGCCCCAACTGTTAGGGAATTTGGGGAAGGATTAACATGCCAATCAGTAACGTTCAATGCTAAAAATAACATAATAATGTCAATACATTTTGCAATCAACAACATGGTATGAAAGTAATATGGACCATTTTTAATATATTTTACATCAATTTTTTTTTCGTAGATCTTGAAGCTACCTCAAGTAGAAAAAAATAAGAACTTGTAAGTTGCTACCATACTTGTTGGTAACATTTTGGAGGTTAAGATAATGTCATTCTTTATTTTCAGTAGATCAAGTAGCTACCTGAGTAGAAAAAAGAAGAGCTTGTAAATGACAATCATACTTCTTGGTAACATTCGTGTGGTACATACAGTGTTAGTTTTTTTAATTCACAGTAGACCAAGGAGCTACCTTAATTAGAGAAAAGAAGAGCCTGTGCATTTTGCAAATTTTTACTATCATACTTCTTGGTAACAGTTTTGAGGTTGAATATCTCTTTTAAACATTAACTGTACATTATGTGAAGACAGTATTGAACTGAACGTGGCAAAAAAATTACAAAACACATTACATATTTTGTAATGATCTCAATTCAATATTGCTAGATATTATTAATTGAATGTTATGATTTGAGGTTAAAATGTTCAAACAGTAAATTGTAAAATAACTAAGTATAGCCTAATATAACATCCCCTTCCTTGAAACTTAATACTATTGTAGTGAGCATACTGTTAAGAGATGGTACCCCCTTTCAGTATAAAAAAAAGGAAAGGCTGGCAAGACGGTTATGGTATTTTCATTTTTTTTTTTTTGCATTTCTTTTCAACTCATTTACAATAACACGGTACACTCTATGATATCTCTAAGTTAATCTAGCTAGTTGTAATGCCAGTGAACAAGTATTCATTATCTGTACAAGGGTACCCTTACAACTACACCGGATATTTTTTTCAGTAAATATTTTTGCCCCACAATTTCAGTTTTTCTTGAGTGAGGTTACTCTCTTCCCCTGCTAAAGACTGCATATATCACTGAGAAAGACAACAAAATGCATTAAAACCCAGTACAAGGCTTACTGTCCACTGGTGAAAACAGCATGGATCATTGTACCATCATCACTAAGGGCGAAGTCCTCTGTAAGTAAGAAACAAGTTTGTTAACTCTGAGAAAATAGATTTGGCATAATTATACTGATACGTCATTAATAATTAATTGTTCTTTGTAATATGTGTTATTCTCTAAAATAGACTTAGTCAGACAGGATTTTAGTTGATTAGAATAAATCTTTTCCACAATTTCCTTTTTTCCCCCACTACCATCCTCTTCCTGCTCCCACTCCTCTTCCTCCTTATCATCAGCACCATCATCATCATCATTATCGCCACTTCTACAACAATCACCACCATCTTTACATTATCATCATTATCACGACCACCCCCGCCACCATCTTTACATCATAATCATATTCATCATCATCATCATCATCACCACCACCAACACTACCACCACAACAATCATTATCATCATTATCACCACTACCACCGCCACCATCTTGACATCATAATCATATTCATCATCATCATCATCACCACCAGCAACACTACCACCACAACAATCATCATCATCATTATAGCCACTAACCACCATCACCACCATCTTTACCTTATCATCATTATCACGACCACCACCGCCACCGCCACTATCTTTACATCATAATCATATTCATCATCATCATCATCACCACCACCAACACTACCACCACAAAAATCATCATCATCATTATCACCACCACCACCGCCACCACAACAATCATCATAACATTATAATCATATTCATCATCATCATCATCATCATCACCACCAACACTACCACCACAACAATCATCATCATCATTATAGCCACTAGCACCATCACCACCATCTTTACCTTATCATCATTATCACGACCACCACCGCCACCATCTTTAAATCATAATCATAGTCATCATCATCATCACCACCACCAACACTACCACCAACACTACCACCACAACAATCATCATCATCATTATCACCACCACCACCGCCACCATCTTTACATCATAATCATATTCATCATCATCACCACCACCACCAACACTACCACCAACACTACCACCACAACAATCATCATCATCATTATCACCACCACCACCACCGCCACCGCCACCATCTTTACATCATAATCATATTCATCATCATCATCATTATAGCCACTACCACCATCACCGCCATCTTTACCTTATCATCATTATCACGACCACCACCGCCACCATCTTTACATCATAATCATATTCATCATCATCACCACCATCACCACCAACACTACCACCACAACAATCATTATCATTATTATCACCACCACCATCGCCACCGCCACCATCTTTACATCATAATCATATTCATCATCATAATCACCATCATCACCACCACCACCAACACTACCACCCCAACAATCATCATCATTATAGCCACTACCACCATCACCACCATCTTTACCTTATCATCATTATCACGACAACCACCGCCACCATCTTTACATCATAATCATAGTCATCACTATCACCACCATCACCACCAACACTACCACCACAACAATCATTATCATTATTATCACCACCACCAACGCCACCGGCACCATCTTTAAATCATAATCATATTCATCATCAATTATCATCATCATCACCACCAACACTACCACTACGACAGTCATCATCATCATTATCTCTACTACCACCACCATTACCACCATCTTTACATTATAATCATTTGTCTTCACCACTATTGTCATCATCGTAAATCATTTATACCATCCAGATCACGTTATTACTAGCATTAACATCACAATCATGTTATCATACAACCATTTATATTACAAGTATATTCACATAATCATCATCAGTATAACCACCAACATCTCCATGATGATCCCGTCACATTATCAGTATCGTCGTCGTAAACACTCTTCCATACTGTTTATACTTACGTATCTCATTATAATCCAAGGAAGAACCATCGGAATAACTTTGGGAGCATACAAGGCGCTGCTTTAAGAAACTGGTGAGGGTCATAGTACTAGAAACAGTTACCCCATCATCATTCTGAAAAAAACAAAGAACGGTATGTTATCACGGACTCTCAATCCAAGGTCCAGGGTTCAAATCAACGTTCATTGGCAATACATTAAATCACATTATCCACCCTCAAATTATGAATACACACATGAAAGTTGGCAGTTGGCCTTCAATTACACGTTAAAAGGGTGTTTTGGGGGAAGGCGGCGGCTTACCGGGTCAAGTATTTGCAACTGTATTTTGTTTTCATACCGTGCTACGAACATGAAGAAAACAAATTGACAGAAAAATAGTCATGTCAAACCGATTAGCAAAATGAAATCCAGAAAGTGGAATATTTGTTAGGTTCGATATTTGAACATAAATTTGGTGGTTAATGGAAGCACGTTTTTAGATTTTGGTAAAGTTAGGCAGCCGCCGAGTGATTTTTAACATGCAGGCATGACGTAATTTAATGTCACAATGGACTGAAATTCGGAAATTAAGTGGTAAAAACTTGATTGTGATTGGAAGGTATGGGTTTTAAAACATGTCGAGAAAGAACAAATAAAGAAAGAAAGATTTTGACGAAATCAAGAGGTGATTTGCTGATCTGAAGATCACCTGATAATATTAACAATAATGATAATATTATTATTAATAATAATTACAATGCACTCTATTATCATGGCCCCGCCTTTGGCAAAGCAGCCATCATTATTACCGTGCCTAATTAATGCTTAATTAACAACAAAAAATGATGTCCATTACCTGACCAGAGAATTACAAAATAATGCAGTATTTTATGGAAATGTGGTCGTTCAATCTAGAATGCAATCTTTAAAATGCAAAATAATCACCGTAAGCATATATTCTTCAACTTACAGAATAATCACCCATCACTTGAAAACAATCATGTGCATAGCTAAATTGTATAAAGCAACATTAAGAAACTTACCTAACAATCTATGGAATATTGGTAAATGAATACGAAAAGAACAAACAAAGAATAACATAAAAGCCTGCTCACAGAACCCGAATCCTTCTTTGGATCCCTTCCTATTTTTTTAAATAATAGGCCTGCGTGGACTAGTCTACTGTACATGTAGTTTTTATGTTGACTAAAAAGTATACTGCGTTATTTCCTTGTAGATGTAATATTCAAAGCTGATACAGCGAACAATTCCATCAAGACTGAAACCTGTTTTGGTGATTGATGATTTTCAAGGATAAAAAGAAGAATTGTCACCTTGCAATCTTGATTTTTTCTAATGTCTAGGCTTAAAGATGATCTTGTAATCTTTCATGTGGATAAAAGAACCCAACATGTGGGGAAAAACTGACCTTGCATATCCTTGCGATTCGGCTATAGTAGGTGTTTACGCTGATACCTTGGCCTGCACTTAAGCTAGCAAACTCCTGCGCTGACTCACGGAAGAGGAAGTAGACAAACTCACCACTGACAAAAGGTGTTCCTACAAACTGTGCCTCTGAATTCATAACAAAGGAAAATGTAAATTATAATGATGATGGTGATGATACTAATATGAATTTGTAACATCAACATCAACATCGATGATAGTAATAATAAGAAGAATAGCACATGTAAGATATCCATATCCATCAGCACATGTGCTACTATAGCCCCTTTTATTAACAAATAGTTTATTTTCTTGTATATGTAAATTATTGTATGAAATGTATAAAATGTATTTCTGTTGGTAAATAAATCAATCAAACAAGAAATGAAGGTGAAGCAGACTCGTTGAAGTGTGATAAATCAATATCAATATCAACATGGAAATCCGAATGATTATGGTGATAGTACTTCAATAATATTAACACAACAACACCAACATCGATAACAGTAATAAGAGGAAGAATAAGGCATGAAGGAGACTTGTTGATGTATAATATTCAATATCAATATCAATATGGATATCATAATGATGATGATACTAATATGATATTAAAAACACGACATTCAACATCGACAATAATATAAAGAAGAATAAATGAAGGAGAACAATATAATGTTTGATGTGTGATATGTATTACAACTACATTGCAAATGGGCAAAAAACAACATAACCAAGTACATATACTTTCTGTTTGCATTGTCAGTTTTATAAACATTGAACAGGCTTTGTGATGTTATTTTTATTACTATAACCACAAGTACATGAACATGTAGAAAGACATCAGACGAAACTTAGAAATTCAAGATAAACTTAAGGTCTGGTTAAACAAAACAAAACAAAAAAAATTATCACAGAATCAAACGAAACTTACACAGAATGTTCACGATTACAAATAAATGTCACCTGCCAAACAATTTTGGTAGAAAATGTATACTGGCTGAGTAATGAGCACGGCAAGATAAGGAAATCAAGGGTAGTAGCCCCAACACCATTTGTGTAGTCCCATATACATCTTTCTGTGTACAGTGCCTGTTACTTTACCAAGACTGGGCCAAATTTATTGTGATTTTGATGACTCCAGGACCTTGCAGTACACACAAATACTTACATGCTACATGATCAACTTTTTCTGATCCATTCCACACCTATTCTTTCACCATGCAATCGCATGACCAGAACTCAACTTTATCTTTAATCAAATCAAATAAAAATACTCACCATCAGCAACCATTTTCTCAGAATCGGTCCTTGTGATAACTTTTCCGGTTATTAATCCGTCGGGGGTGACTGATGCCAAGCCAACGATGGATTTTGGGACGTCAGATTCTATCGTTAGTCCATAGTAAATTCTATTCACTGTAGTAGGATAAACAGAATTAAGCATACCGTCCGTGAATTGGGTATAATACCTACAATCTTGAATGACTAGTTGCCAATTACATACATGTACAGGTAGCATGTAGCTCATTTACTACTGGATGAAAAGCACTCTTAGATGCCGTTCCTTGGTCAGTGTGAGAGTTCATTATATATATAAGTTACCAAGCGGTGACAGTGTAAATAAAGAAAATGAAACATGATTAAAAAATAGATTATGTCTTCGAACTCAGTTTGATATAGATTGTATTAATATATATATATATATATATATATATATATATATATATTAATTGGTCTACTGTTGGTGATGATAGATAAGGAGTGAGTCTGTTCCAGAGTTTGGAAGATAAGAAGAAATGCTACCAGCTAGTTTATTGTCGATCGGCTGAACGAAGATCACTGACGATGCTAGAGGAGTTCACCTTAAAAGAGAATGTTTAACAAGATTCTTTAGCGGGGGAAACAGCTATGAATGTTCACGAAATTATATTTTAAATATGTACTTAAGTGCCATTTTACTCCTATTCCACAGTGATCGAAAATACTGTATTCATTTTGTATGAATGTATTTGGCAGCAAGGCGCCCGCATGAATTGTATATCTTACATGTCGTATCAGGACACCTATACCCCTTGGACATCCACCCACGGATAACCACCCCAGTGAACTACCTGTCATGCAATTGTAATATACATGTACCACGAAATCTCCGCAACTTACCATGATAAAGGAATGTTGCATTGTCATTCTTCCGATACTGGAACACCTCTCCTCCGTCAATATTGTCTGAAGTGCATCCAGAGTAATTAGTAGTATCATCGTAAGGTAGGTCCTGAGGTGGGTCATTTTCGATAAACGAGCAGTTCAGCTGTGAATTAGAGAAGAAAAATCAAGGGTGAAAATAGAAACTCAAATTAACATTCACTACTTCTTCAAATATTGCATTCATTGTATATTTGATCCAGGTTTCATGATTGTATACCTCAATGTAACTGTGATACTTTTTAAGAGAGTGGATATATTTACTCCTCATTCGTAAAAAATAATTCAAAATTGGAGAAAGATTGGCAACCTACAGACCGCCAATGAAAAGAGAGACCTGCAAGTTCACAAATACTCATTTTACTTTGGCATTAGAATTATAATTTGTTGGAATACATTTGCAAATCTCATGTAGAAATTAACCTGTCAGACCATGATCCGATAGGGTCTTGAAAATGATTTTAAGAGACTTCCAATATTGTAGTAAATGAGACCAAATTCACTATCGGCAGATGGGCTGTCTGTATTGGGGGCTGGCGATATCGGGGGGCCGGCGGTCTCAGGGGCTTTCTGTATCAGAGGGGCCGGCGGTCTCAGGGACTTTCTGTATCGGGGGCCGGCAGTCCCAGGGGCTTTCTGTATCATGGGGGGGGGCGGTCTCAGGGGCTTTCTGTATTGGGAGGCCGGCGGTCTCAGAGGCTTTCTGTATCGGGGGGGGGGGGGCGGTCTCAGGGGCTTTCTGTATCAGGGGGGCCGGCGGTCTCGGGGGCTTTCTGTATCGGGGGCTGGCGGTCTCAGGGGCTTTCTGTGTCGCGGGCTGTCGGTTTCATGGGCTGTTGGTCTCGTGCTTAGGGTCGTAGCCAGATTAGCCATATAAAAGGATATTTAAAATCGTATCTTACCATTGAACCATCATAACCGCAGAATGCACACCTTGGAAGCTCAGCATTGGTTCCACATGCTAAGACCCTGCAACTGCTACTATTGCAGGTTTGGCCAAGCGTAGTCACTCCTCTTATGTAGTTATCACAATCCTCCTATACACACATTTAAAGGTAAAAAATTATTCTTAAATAATCAACGCATCACTTTTAGTCATTCCACTTTTGAAGCTGCGACACTGGTAAGGAATTTGATTTAAGTAACTTTGCCAATTTACCTGCAAATTGAAGGTAATTCATAGTACCTATATTTGCATTGACGGCGCATAATTATACACATCCCCCCCCCTCATATTGTGAGAAATTTCATCCCCTTCAATTTTCATTCCCATATGTTTTTTTGCACAATTTATATTTTAACTTACACTGAAGAGATTAATATTCATCCAATATACACCGCAGTTGAAATGACATTTATTTTAAACTGCAATATGAACTCAATTCCATTAGTGTAATTTTATATTCAAAGGTGTAATACTTGATCATTAGCATCATCATTAATAAATTAGGGCTTATGAGGTACAATTGCACAAAAGTACTATAATTTTTTGGAAATTTGCAGAAACTTGCAAAACCATTTCGCAAATTATATAAGTGGTTCAGTTTTGCAAAAGCTGAACGCTGGGTAAAATGCAGTTAAATCACAACTAATACAACACAACAAAATATTCACTTTGCCAACAAAAATTGTTGCCATGAAAATAACCGTCCATAACAATTCATAAAAGTTGAAGTCACACAAGGATTCTGGTTATTACAGTAATTTATAAATGACCGTATCAGGACAAATTTATCCCAAGACAATCACCCCGGGAAAAATAACCCCTGGTAAATAACCGCCAAGGACAATAACCCCCCCCCCGGAATATCACCCTCTAGGACACTCACCTCTCGAGGACATTTACCCCCCCCCCCCCCGTGGACAATTACCCCCTAAGACATTTGCCTAAAGACAAGATATCATGTGAGCACCCCCCCCCCCCCCACACACAAAATACACACACACACTCGGGGGTGATTGTCATGAAGTGATTTTTTCCCAGGTGTAATTGTCCCACTTGTAAATGGCCTGGGGTGATTGTCCAGGGGTTAATTATTAAGGGAGTAATTGCTCTAGAACTATATTTGGATGTTTATGGAAAGCCATAGGGGAAAAAACTGAATATATTCGATCCCTGCAAAATGTATGGGTCAGTATAAATATGTTTATACATAATTATATTCGATGTTTATAAGAAATATAATGCGCCATTGAAATATATTCGATGTTTTATTATAAATATATGGGTAATCAAAATATTCTATGTTTACAACTAAATACTTTTTTTCTACCTTCAGGGAAATGGTTTCCTGTATCGAGATTCTGGGTTATATATATTACTTCGTAATGTTTATTTGCCAAGAATAAACTTTGCATTAGAGAAATTTGCTCTAATGTGGAGCAATCATATTCTACGATCTGAAAGCAGATCACCTCTACAATTTTTTTTTCGTGAGTTATGTATAGCAATATAAGTATTGATGCAGGAAACCTGGTAATGTTTGGCTTTGATGAGGATGGAAAACCAAGACAAATACAAATTGAAAGCAATGCCCAGTATTCAAAGACTATTAAAGGCTAAGGAGCGCAAATATATTTTTATTTTTACTAATATATTTTTATTTTTTTTAATTTTTTTTTATTAAAACATCTTTTAACAGGATAACATTGATCAGCTCGCAGGCAGTTTTACATAATGGTTCTGCATAAAGAAGGAAACAAAATTCAAGACTTGACAATAAGAGTAGTTACAAACAAAATAGCAGTATATGTAATTTCTTAGACAATAGGGCTAGCAATCAGTTTTAGTATTATTGCATACAATGCCTTAGTAGTAAGGAGGAACGGCAGTGAACACATTTTGTCGATTAAAAGGAAGATTTCTTTATATTGGTGTTTAAAGCTGTCAGCTGTCAACTTTTCCAATTAACCGCTCCAGCATACTTAAAATATTGTTTGAATAAGGTCACGTTAGGTTTGGGCAATACTACATGTAGAGAGTTTGCATTCCTTATATTAAGGCCATGGCGGTCGAAATACATTTCTATTTCGTTTGATAAGCGAGGTGGAGCAATGCCCCTTATACATTTGAACATGAGCATAGCCAGAAAATAATCACGGCGGTGGTCAATAGTTTGCCAGGAACGTTGTGTTATCGATGCGTTGCCGTTTGCAATTTCATAGTCAAAGATACCAGTTACATATCTAGCAGCTCTTTTCTGCAATCTCTCTGAAGGCGCAGCTTGTAGCAGGCTGGGCAGTTTCCCCATACAGAGATAACATAGTCTATACAGGGTTGGATTATTCACTTATAAAGGGTGTTCAATAGTTCTGAGTTTAGAAATTTACTCAGCTTTCCTAGAGAATAAATGTTATAAGCAATAGGTTTACATAAATCTCTTAAATAGAAATTCCAATTCAAGTTTTCATCAATCACAATATCTAAGCATCTTTTATATTTTACCTGTTCGATCAGTTCATCTTTTATGAATATATTCAATATATCAGAGGATCTTAATTTGATAAGTATTGTTTTGGTTTTACTTGTGTTAATGCGTAATCGATTTTGATTATACCAATTATTTAGAGCGATAATATCTTTTTTTAATTTCTTTGTGACGTTATCTAACTTACTATCTGCAACAAAGACTTCAAAATCATCAGCAAATATGGTGCAGACGCCTTCAGTTATACATTCAAATATATCGTTGATGAATATAAGGAACAAAATGGGGGCCAAGACACTGCCCTGTGGTACCCTGATAAAAAGCTCTCTTATAACAGATAGTTTTCCTTTGGCGTATACCACTTGCTTCCTATTACTTAAATAGTTTTTGAACCTTATGAGCCTATTTCAGTAATTCCATATTTTTCAAGTTTGAATAAAAAAAGCTCTTATTTTTCTGTACTAACATATTTTCTGGTACAAACAGAAATCTCATGCGAACAAAAAAAATCACAAAAACATCCGGGCACGCATATATTACGGGACCAAACGAAATAATTTATGTTTTGGCACATATTGTCCAATCTAGTTTTCGTGTTTAACCAACTTTCTTTCCCTGCACATAAATATATTTTGTTTGCATATAAGTTTGTGTTTGCATAAATTAATAAAGAATATATTATAACAAAAACATCGAGTATATTTTGATAGCGCGTACATTTAAAAAAAAAACATTCATTATACTTTAATAACGCATTTATTTATTTTACACATCGCATATATTCTTACACATATATATTTTATATTTTAAAAGCGCATATATTGCTTGTAAACATTGAATATATTTTGATACTGACCCATGTACTTTTCAGGGATGGAATATATTTAGTTATTTTCCCTATGGCTTGCCATATATTTTGAAGACAGGAGCTATCTATTACTCACCACATCAGAATGTGTTTTGTAGCAACCCGTGGAACCTGTGCTATAACATACCCCCAAATACTAAAACATAAAGGAGATAAATAATTGAACAGTTATAAAATACATGTATATACATATACATATTCATAAATATTTTGTTTCCATTGACTTGTCGAGACTTGTCGAATTCATTATCCGGCTAATCCGATGTAAAATGTGTGCTTTATTAAATATCATCACATTAAGCAAAGTCAAACAGTGCAATGCACGTCTTTCCTTTCACTTAGAATTAATCTTCATATATTTAGACTTTATAATCACTAATATTATTTTCACTTTACCTTTCCTCACCTCCCTTTTTTCCCTCTGAGAATATAAAACAAAAATGTTGGATTAAAGCCAAACGAATGACACATGCACACACCGGTATCCCATCAGTATTGTATCCTTAACTTTGAACGAGTGTGATTGACTGACGAAAACAAAAACATTTATCATCAGCTTTAAACGATTCATAGAAATCATGTGTGAATGAATTAAAATGACTGACGGAAATAATGTATACTTGACTTTAAATGAACGTGAATGACTGATGGAAATAATGCATCCCTAACATTAGGGCTTGATACTTAAAAATGGACACGCAAGAATTTAGTCTGTACCCCCAATATTTACATTTTTGGCATATTTTCATGCAAGAAGTTTCTAAACAGTAAAATGCAGAAAAACCCTTCCCTAAATATTAGGGCGGATCCCTAACAATGCCAACATTAAAAATAGAAATTCTGAGCTTTCACATGTATCTTTACGCATACATACATACCCCAGTATTGACAATGTTTCCGTCAATTATAGTCAAGTTCTGATCACTTCCAAGGAAAATCAAATCTGCTGCTCCAGACCGTTGGTAACCATCAACGACTCTGACATCGCCCTTAATAATTTCATCACCTCCGTCTGCAATGAGAATGAGAGCAGTCACTATGTAAACACTCTTCACATTGAACATCTACATTCTTGAATAAAACAAGACTTTATATTTAACTGTTCTTTTGAGTTAGCGTTGCTGTTTGATAATAAGATTAAGATAACATTTTAAAGAAAAAATACGTCACAGAGACTGTCGTTCTAACTGACAATATAAAGTTTAACAAATACAACAAACTGCACATAGCCTTTTTACAATAAGATAGAATGAAACCTACTGACCGGTATCCTGAAAGGAACAATAATCTAAAAAAAATGTCAACATTACACCGGCCCCTTTCTTGTGGCATTGTTCTTGCTCAACTTTTGTGGAGATTTTCGCCACAATTACTCTTAAGATTAAGAATGGCATGTCTGATATAAAATAAGACATTAAACGAGTAAACAAATATTCTTATTCAATTTCAGGTCAGGTTAATTGGTCTAGCGATACGTTTACTTGGTCCTTTGTTGGTCTTCGCCTACAAACTATTTCGAGTGACCCCGTTATGAAACTGAGTTACGTCTTTCGGATGGTGACGTTAAAGATCGGTCCCAAAACGTTAATAATGATATCTGATTGATACACGTCCGTCATATCCAAATACATACACATTCAAGTCGAATCTTAGAAATACATTCTCTACCATACTGTACTTACCACAAGTCAAAATAGCTTGCTCACTAAGGCTTGTGAGACAGGCCGTGTACAGGAAAACCGCTAGTATCTGTCCCTTCAACATGCTTGAAACTGAAATGATAATGTGAACAGAGAAATTAATGGCCAAATATTGATCGTCTCGATAATTTACAAATCCTGTACTTCGTAGTATTAGTAGTAAAAAATAATAATATTAATAACAATACAAATACAACTACTACTACTACTTCTGCTGTTAACACTAATGATAATAACCACACTAATCACAGGCCTAATAAAATGATAGTAATGATAATAACAATAGTAATAGTGATATTTAACAAACATAATAATAATATTTAACAAATATTATAATTATAACAATAATAATAATGATCACATCAACAATGATGATTATAATTACAATGAAAAATTATAATAATAACATAACAATAACAACAATAATAACAATAACAATAAAATGAATGCTACTACTACTACTACTACTACTACTACTACTCATCATAATAATGATAATTGATATGATAACAAACATACCAAAATATTCTTCCATCTTCATGCATTTTAATCTACCAATCACAATGTGAATAAAATAAATAAATAGCACCTACGGCCGTACAATGGTACCTGTGACCATGAACATCTCAGAATAAATAGTTCAAATATATAATTTCCAAACGGGAATAGATAATTGGTCGATTTAAGGCAAGAAACATTGCTTTATAGCTTAATAGATATCTTGACCCTGGGAGGGAGCTATCCAACATGAATAATTTATGATTTATTATTTCATAACTTTAAACTCGATTTCAACCGCGGCAACGATCACTGAATATTTATTGTAGGATCTCATATGCTTCCAATATGCTCATTTGAACGAAATTCATGACCCCATACCAAAACTTTGTATCACCTTTAATGCCCGTTTTGTTTATCGCACACGTGGTTTAATAAATATTTGATCTCAAATAAGAATAATCATCAAATGATTATTATACCTCATGGATGATCGACGAATTGGGCATTTAATACACAAACTTGGAATTATAAGAAATCATTATGAGACCATGTGGATAGTTTACGTGGTGGGTAAAGCCTTAAGGGAATAGACTGATCGGGTAGTAGACGTACTGGTTGTAGACCAAACGGAAATTCACCACTAAAAACACACCTTGGCAACTCCATACTATAACATGAAAAACTACCACTCACAAATTAGAATAGTATCTTAGCTAGATATCTTAACTTTCCAGAAAAAGGTAACTTTCTTTCCTGAAATTATAGCTTACATGCTCTGGGGAAAAAAATAATGTACTACCAGTTAATCTACACACAAAATAAACCTTCAAATTATAAATGCTACAATACACTGAATAAGGATATGGTTAGTGTTTTACAGCGATTAGAGATAATCATATTGCATATTGGATGGTGATATTACATTTCATGTAAAATAACTTTAAAATGCTAGTCGGTAAGACATGCAAAACTTTGATTTTTTCCACAGTTCAGTTCCTAAAGCCTCGGTCTGGCAAAAAACTAACTTCTTAACTAGCCTGGTGAACACCTTAACATTGTTTAGCTCATGAATTATAAGCCATAATATTTTGTCCATACAAAATGCAGGATGCACATAGCATGTCGTACTGACACGTCCATACAGCATGACTGCATTCGCTGTGAGTACAAACTGTACAATACGCATTTTTAATTAGGTTCAAGTTCCAGAACTGAACAAACATTGCCTGAATGTCTATTGCTTCAACAACACCCTGTTTGCTTAACAATATCCTAAAAAAAGACAACAATCTTTGATAAACTCAGAATCTATATAAGAAGACACGGATACCTAAGACAGAGATGGATGTTGACGCATGGATTATGCAGCCATTAAAATAAAAACCAAACTCTATATAATAAACGAACTTTCTCAACCGTAATGTTATTGATCTGAATATAGTTACTTAATTTTTTGATACTACATCTTGGTCCATAAAATTGCCTGTTGCTCTCTTTTCCCCATGTTGGACTTAGGTGTGGTTGCCTAGTTAATGATATCGATTTTCTTATCTCGGTTTATTGAGTCCCCATTGTTACTGTATTTTTTATAATTTTCATCATCATGTTACTGTTGAGACACTGTGATAAGTAAAAGCCTTTGTTTCGTCTAAATTAGGCACAATGTTTTTTTTTTACATATTTAGATTAAAAGTAATTTTCATTTCATTTGTAACGCGCTTGAAAAGTGTATGTGTTTACCAGCGCCTCATGAATATTAGATATTATTATTATTATTATCATGTGATTCAATCAATATTATAGGCACACTTCACAGTGTTCAAGAGGACGAGTCATCTTTTTCTAAGTATATATTTTTTTTGATGAACTTTGTTCGATCCTATTACAGTTTATTAGAACTTTCTCGTCACTAATTTTAATTTTCCTGTTTTAAAACGTTTTGCTTTATTCCTTGTTTCCCATGAAAGCCCACGACTGTAAAATTGAAATTGTTTATTTTATATGTTTTACTGTAATTATTTCATTTTGTTTAAATGAAAATGTGGACAAACAATCTTTAAACTAAGTAGGATGATCATGCTCATTGCCAATGTAATACAAAAATGAACAACAAATTTTAGAAATGTTAAAAACAGCAAAAATAAAATGGTACAAATATACTGTCTTGGGTATAGGCCTAAATGGCATCAAGCTTGTATCTAGTAAAGTGGGACAATAATTGTGTAATGTTTTAAGTTGTTCATCATTGTCACATGTAGCTTTGCGTACACTTTCAATTTCCATTCCCTAAATTCTTCTCCATATTTAACCATTGCCTCTTTTGTCCCTTTGTTTATTGTTTTTCAGGACCTAGAATGCTTCTTCCCTACTTACCTGCCAATGATTATATTAATTCCTCCTTCAATACTCCCTTCTCAATTATTTCCATAGGTTAACCTTCTTTATCAGGCTATTCTATTATTTTTCACTTGTCTAATATAGGATTTCCCGGCCAAATTCGCGTGTTTGTCATTCGAATTCATTTACTTTGCATTTAATATAGCGCAGATTGGCTTTGCCATGCCAATTATCATTCAATTTTCCAGTTTTTGTATTTAATTTAGGAATTTGGTCGAAGGGTTTCATAGATCTGTCATTCAATTTAGAAACTGCTCAACTAGCATTCAAATTAATATTCACTTGTCGAAGCGTAATTTTTATCATTCAAATTAAGACCTGTCATTCGTATTCGTAATATTTGTATTCAAGTAAGGAATGTTAGGGGGAAGAATTGCGACAAACTTTTACAGTTTTTAAATAATGCAGTTAAAATGCATGATTTGCCATTGGGGTCTAAGCTGTTATTCCATTTATTTATTTTCAGGACAATGCAGATGGGTGTAGTCAGACATAGAGTAAAGAAGGGGCGAAATCAAGGGATATGGCATTTCTGCACGGACATGTTCATATACCCGGGAAAGGTGGGGGTACCCTCAATCGCACCTTTTTACTACAGACTCGGAATTTTACAAAAGTAATTCACATCGTCTCTTATACCCAGCACACCCCTCTGTTTTTCTTAAAGAGTTTCATAGTTTTCTTGCCCGCCAGCAGATCGATGGCTAAAGACATGGCTAAACAATGAATCAAGTTCAAATTGTTGACTCTAGTCCCTACCCCAGTCACAATATTGTACCCCCGCCCCCCCCCCCCACTCAGTGTTATTTAGGGTACGCGTATGCTTGTACCCTCTTTTTGAAAAGACCCCCTATCTGAGCACTGCCAAAATTTCCGAACCCCCCTTTCGCGGGCTTTTCACGGGCTTTTCCTGCCTTGGAGACCCCCCTAAATCCGGAACGCTGCTCAATGTACCTACCTATCTCAGGACATGCAGACCCCCCCCCCCCCCCCTCTCATCTCAGATAAGCTGTCATTAGACTGGTTGGTACTTCTTTAAGTTCTTCTTCTTGATCATTTTGAAGCACAATTTTTTTAGGGCTTCAATATTACACCATATCACAGACACTGATAACATGTAGGGCCTTGCATCTCAGATTTAACATTGTTAAACAATCCCTTTAATACACAGCCAGGATAGTAGACCTATTACTAATGCAGCTGTGACTGTGTGTGAATTAGGGTAGCCTACACAACAGTACAAAACTACATAGGTCTAGATGCAAGTCCCACGTACATATTCATTATCATGGGTGTAGGAAAATGAGTTTGAGAGTTTTACTATTGCGATCAAACTATAGGGCAAACTACTCACCTGAATGTGCCACCCTGTGAGCCACAGGTAGACAGCCACAATATCCACAACGAGGAGACTGTGGGTCCTGCTCAAAGACGTCCCAATCATGACAATTTTGGCAGGGCCCACGCCTCATACCCCATCTTGATGCCCCGGCTTGATGCCGAGCCTAGGCCGATATGCATGCTGAGCGTGCAGCTAGCGGATGCGCCGTACAGACCATACGTTCTGTTGTTATCTCTTCACTGCCGCCGTATTGGGACGGGAGTGCATGGGACTCAATGATTTTACTTTTCATAATGAAATAATCCTGAATGAGCTTTCAAAACTAGCAGGAATATCTGAAATCTGATCGCGGGATTTCATCAAGATTTTTTATAACCCCCTTTTTTAATTTCAAAGAGATGAGAGAAAAACACCCCCTTTTTAAAGAAATCTCCGGGTGAAAGTCAAATACACCCCCTTTTTTTACATTTCTCGGGCCGGACTTTGTCGCACGAAAAGTACCCCTTTACCGGACATTTTGGCAACACGCATGCGGTCATTTCGAAACCTGAGTGGGGGGGCCGGGATTGTACCCTTCTTCCATAATGAAATTGTGATGAAATTATGATAAATTAATGATGAAACATAAGACAAACAACTTCCTTACATGAACATTTACAAATATATTGAGGTCCGTAGATGCAAGTCGTTTTTTTCTTCTCAACAATCAAACTTAAATGCTGATGAATATCAGATAAATTTAATAAATATAAGTGTATGAATGCAAGAAAATCAAATATGATGAAATACCCATAAATAAACAATCTTGAAAGAAAAAGAATGAGCTATAAAAAGTGTGTAATAAACGAGAAATGTATATTGACCATCAATTTAAGTGCACAAAGTGCTAATTTGAATGCTACAAATGAATCAGAATGCTAGCAGTACACCGTCGCGTTGTCAGTAAATCGTGTTGCGCCAAATCGAATGACCAAATAGCGAAAGAAGCACATTGTTCATTAATTTGAATGAAACATAGGTAGATTCTAACACAATTCCATAGATTTGAAAACTAGAAAAGGGAATATAAGCCCGATATAAACCTGAATGCACTAAAACCGTCGAATTTGAACGCAAGACAAATTAATTTGAATGACAAACTCGCGAATTTGGCCGGGAAATCCTATAGTAATAATAATAATAGTGTGTTCTTATATAGCGCACATGTCTGCCATAATAGGGACTTTTAGATTGAGTGGACGAGAACACGACGAACGCCGACTGATCATGCGTGTCAACGTACTTAACTGCCCATGTTGACTACAATTAGAAATCTTTTACATCTTTACATGCATGCAGGAAGTAACACTATGACATCACGGGCAAAGAAAGAGGACAAAATATCCTCATTCTACCCTCAACAAAAGAACATCCCTTCACTGCTATTATTTAAAAATGTGTAGAACAGGTGAATATGCATGTGACACCTGTTCTACACATTTTTACATAATAGCAGGGAAGGGATGTTCCTTTGTCTACCTGAGGAACTGTATATTTTATGCGCACGCGGCATACTAGTACCTTGAGCATGTAAAGGCGCTATATAAATATCAATATGTATGTATGTACCGTATGTACTAGATTTAGGAAAATCAAGGTTGACGCATTCTCGATCGCCGACTGAGACGACGTAACGCATGCGCACCGCCTTAAAATGACGTCACACTTTGCAGTCAAAGCTGTCGACGTGCAAATCTAAAAGTCCCTATTTACACTCCTGGCACTTCCGATTATAACCCTGGCTTTAGCATGGCTGTCATACGGCGCTCTAGCATGTCAATGAATTAATTCCTGCCAGGTACCCATTTACATCACCTGGGTTGGGTGTGGCAAATGTAGATCAATGTCTTGCCAAAGGACATTAGTGCCGCGGCGGGACTCGAACCGCGGACCTTGTGATCGACAGTCCGGTGACATATTCACTCGACCACGACAACTTTACCGTCTGCTATGTCATTAGTAATTATGTTTTTAATGTTAATATAATACGTTCTGCAGAGAGCAGTCTGTAAACAAAGAGAAACAAAGCAGAGCTCTCAGTTATAATTTAAAATATTGACATGTATATCAACAGTAACCATGCAATCAAATCCAAAGTACCTCAGTACAATGTGCAATACTTGAGTCATAATCATATTTGGATGAGTTATCATAATTTTATTTGCAAGCGTATCAGCTGAAAGATAAAACAAACTTGGCAGAGGTCACAGAGAGCAATTTGCTTTCTCTGGCACAACTTCACGATTCGGTTCAAGTGGGCCTAACACGTCATTACAACACTACTAGAATGCATGTAAGAGACCAATATTGAAGGGGGATATTTATTCTATATTCCAAATCATGCACCATACAGCATTCTAAATCATTATATTTAGATATTTACAAAGTCACTCGATCCGAACAAACACATATAAACGAGCATCAATTAAAATCGCCTCAAACAGAATTTCCGAGTACCATTCTGTGCTATGGGAATCGTTATTTTCAAAATGTGGTTCTTTTCACAAAATATAGATGCAGGCCTGGGAACTTCAATTTCATGTTGATATGTAAAAAGGTAAGACTGAACCCACCCCGGTAGATCAAGGATGTTTTGAAGGGGGCACTATGCCCTCAGATAACACAATGTAGTAAGGGGGAGTTATACCCCCCTAATCTATTAATGACTGAAGTGATGCATGCTTTTAATAAGGATCATGATAAAGCACATGCCTACCCTAATACTACATGTATAGTTACAATACCGGACTGATTTTCTACAGACAGATTGGGAAAGAATGAAAACGAGGGGGGGGGGGGGGGGGGCTGATGTTGGAATTCTCTGTTTGCACTAGAAGTCTACAATATCCAAAGTACGTTTGCTTTGATTGTACAGTAACTGTGCATGCAGGAAGCTAATTAAGTTGCTGCGTGTACTTGAATTAAAGAAAATTGGCATAGACCATTTTCGTAATATAATCAGATTGTGTTCATAGTTCCTTTTTTAAGTGCCTTTTTGCAAATTATCTTAATTTACCTTATACAAATGATTATATCTTAATAGCCAGAATGAAAATTGCATACATGAAATGTTACTTGGTAGGCAGACTTGGAACAAAATGGTAATTTTCTTGTATCAATACAATATTTACAAATCTGTGTATTTGATTTAACTCGCAATTTATCCTTAGTTTTTTTCTTTTTTTGTATGAACGATATCCAAATACTCATTCTTATAGTTGACAGAAGTTGGATAGCATTCATTAACTGTACAGTATTGAACATATATCACTGGAATGCGGAAAATGACAGCTTTGATATAAAAGAAGTAAAATGCTATTCGAAATTGTATTCATGAGATCTAACATATTACAGTAATAAGAAGGATACAATAATAATATGTGGGGTTTATATAGTGACTATAAGGATTACCATGTATCTTAGTCTTCCGGATGGTGACGTTAAATGTCGGTCATCAGACGTAAACAATCGTATCTGATTGAATTGAATTGAATTGATTTGAAATGTATTTCCATCATCATTATACACAGATAAAATATTGAATTTCATAACATGTAAAAATATCAAAATTACATATAAATTGACATGACAGCATTCAAAATATAAAGAAAATATGAAGGTTTAAAGCATAGTACAAATGGAAAATGGTGCATCCATAAAAGCCAGTAAGGCTTGACAATCGAATGCACCAGGCGCAGAAGTAATAATAACATATATTTGGAAGAAGAAAAAAGATACACGTCTGTATACAAATCTAATGACACACGCACACGTACACACCCTTGGTACTTTTACTGGTATTATTACCCGGATCATTGGATTCAAGGCTGCCCGCACACAAGGTATGCACATTATCCAACTCCTGGTGAAGCATTCGAACCAAATGCACATTTTCAGACGCTCAGCAAACTTCACACATATGACTTAATATGTATTGAGATAATGAAATTGAATATAGTTGCCACAATGTATAGACCTACCGTGGTGGATATGGAAGGATCTTGATGGCCTTATACACATGAACGAGACAAATTTGCATAATTAATAATATTAAAGAAACATACTTTTTGTTTGAGAATATTTAAAAATCTAAAATTACACAAAGGACTGCCACATTTAACAAATATTGCATAGAAGTACTTGAATTAATCAAAGTTATACAGGTAAAATTGTCAAATATTGATTAAAAAAATAATATGTTATCCCCCCCAAACCCGGGGATTATAAAGTGACACCATTTGTAAATTGTATGTGTATTTTATTGAATTGTATATGTGTTGTTGAGGTATTGAATGCTACATGTAGAGGTAGGCTTGCAACCAATGCAAATGTGCATTTACCCATTGGCTAAGGGGAATCCGATGATGGGGCTTTGGGTGTCTGGGCACTCCGATTGACGGACAATATTTTTGAACTAATCACAGCGCTAATTAAACAATTCGGGAATGTTTATCCTCTATGAAAATTGTCCAACATAGATTTTTAGAGGATTTATGAAATATTGCTTGTAAACTTCAAGAAATTGCTGTTTTAAATCAACTGTCCGGATATACTACTTGCCCGGACACACACCGTCTGAATATACATGTGCATTCACATACGTTACACGATGGGGAATAAGACAACTCTGTAGAGTCAAGCAGTTAAATGAAAATTCCATCACCACCAACCAATGCAAGGATCAAAACACACAATTAGGGCGAGATCGTTTTTCGACCATTCTGAGAATAAATAAATTACATACAAATGCATGTATAGATTCTAAGATGTCATCTCATGGAAACCAGCACTATTATTAGCACCTATAGCAAATGCCTGGCAGGAACCAACACATTATTTTCCATTCCCTGCTCTGTTGCTAAGTTAGACTTACCCGTTGAGCTGCTTGCCTGATAGCGTCCGAGTGATAATGTTTAGAAGTGTATTGGTTCCCAGCATGGGATAAATCCTTTAACATATCGGAAAGGAAGACTGGTTGTATCCTTTTATCAAGCTGCAAACTGGGACATGAATGCTTTAAAGCTAATCCAGATCATGGGCGCGGCGAGTTATGGAGGATCAAAGGGCACACAAATACTGGGCACATACGGGAATTCCCCTTTTCACCACCGGTACGGTATTGCCGAGTAAATAAAGTAAGGGTAGGGGATGGGGTGATCCGAACACTTAATAAGCAAAGATCCTTCTCTTTTGCGTTCGGATCGAACGACAAATAATCATCAATAGTACTAGCCATTATCATTGATATTTGTCCTTTGTAATGTAGGATTTTCCGGCCAAATTCGTGAGTTTGTCATCAAAAATAATTTGTCTTTCGTTTAAATTCGAATGTTTTAGTGTTGTCAGTTATGTTTGTAAATTGTCATGTAAGAAAGTTGTTTGGAGGAAGGGTACCATAATTTGACTGGGTTAGGGACTAGTACGTGTCACACAATTTGAGCGTGATTCATTACTTAGCCGAGTCTTTAGCCATTGATCTACTGGCGGGCAAGGCATCGTAGTATGTAGGTCTGCATTCTGCGAAATGATTCCATGTATTTCTCCTGTGTGCGGCGTCAACATTTCTCCTGGCTATATATACGACAAACGATGTCTACTCGCCACCTCTCCATCGTTAGCCCCTGCCTGTTCCAGGCGCGGATCCAGGGGGGGGCCGAGCGGGCCTTGGCCCCCCCCCCCCCGGCAAAAAAAAAAAAAAAAAAAAAAAGAGAGAAGAAAGGAAAAGAAGGGAAAGGGAAAGAGGAGAGAAAGGGAAAGAAAGAAGAGGAAGAAGAAAAGAAAAGGGAGAAGAAGGAGATCGGGGGGGGGGGGGCGAAAGGGCCTTGCCTCCCAGGCTGTTGCCCCCCCCCCCAATCAAAAAAATAATAGAGAAGGAAGGAAAGGGAAAGAAAAAAGGAAAATAGGAGATACTGGCGTACTGATAGAGAGGGGGGGGGGGGGGCTTGGGGGAAATCAAATTCAAACGTGTTTTATTTCTAATTCCATAATTGTGGATTACAAATAATGCTGAAATGACATAATTTCCGAGATTTTTCCTCACTTTTTAGTAAATTATACTTTTTTATGCGTTTGTTGGAAAATGACAAAATGACAAATGATAAATTTACAGCCAGGCAAGAAATATGATTCTTGAGATTCCTACATGTCAGGGCCCGAGGAACGGCGGGAATCGGGAGCCTCGAGCCCCCCCACACACTTTAACAAAAAAAGTATATTAAAGAGAAATAAAAAAAAAAAAGAAAGAGAGCAAGAAAGAAAGAATAGTTAACTGCCAGTGTTAACAAATAAAGAGGCATCAAAATATGATCATCTGACCGTGATTAAATGCCTAAAACCCCTAAGCTTCCGGGGGATCTACCCCCTGGATTCCACCTAGGGCCCTAAGGTGGGCCCTTCGATGCTCATCTGACGGTTATTTAATGCCTAAAACCCCTGATTGTGGGGGGCTCCGCCCCCTGGATCCCACGCCAAATAGTGTCCTGCCAGTGACACAAAATAATAAGGATTATAACAAAATGCTCATCTGACCGTAAATAAACGCCTAAAACCCCTGAGCTTCCGGGGCTCTGCCCCCAGGATTCCACCTTGGGCCCTAAGACGGGCCCTTCGATGCTCAGTTGACGGTAATTTAATGCCTAAAACCCCTGATTTTGGGGGGCTTTGTCCCCTTGACCCCACGCCTAAGTGTCCTGCCAGTGTGACAAAATAATAAGGATTATAAAAAATGCTCATCTGACCGTAATTAAACGCCTAAAAACCCCGAGCTTCCGGGGGCTCCACCGCCTCGACCCCACCAGGGGCCCTAAGGCGGGCCCCTGAATGCTTGTCTGACCGTTATTTATTGCCTTAAACGTCTGAGCTTCCAGGGTCGGACGAGGTATCAAAATGTGTTAATCTGACCGCAGGCGCGTAGCCAGGGGGGCGGTGGGGGCGGTGGGGGCGGTGGGGGCGGTACCCAAACAATAACCGCCGCCCCCCCTAAAAAAGAAGAGGAGAGAAAAGAAAGAGGACGTAGAAAGAAAAAGGAGCAGACAAAGAACATCTTTAAAATTCAGACAAAGATTAGTGTAGAGAACGGTACAACGCATCGTCTTCTTTCTCTAATAATTTAATGAAACGTAAAAGCCCCCGCGCTTCGCGCGGGAGGGGGGAAACTGAACTCGGACGAGGATTAAGCATCGAGAACGGTACAACGAATCGTCTTGTTTCTCTAAAGATTTAAAGAAATGTAAAAGCTTCCGCGCTTCGCGCAGGAGGGGGGGGGGTGGGAATGAATTTAGACAAGAATTAAGAGTCGAGAACGGTACAACGAATTGTCTTCTTTCTCTAATGATTTAATGAATCGTAAAAGCTTCCGCGCTACGCGCAGGAGGGGGGGGGGGTAACTGAATTCAGACGAGGATTATTTTCGAGAACGGTACAACGAATCGTCTTCTTTCTCTAATAATTTAATGAATCGTAAAAGCTTCCGCGCTACGCGCGGGAGGGGGGGGGGTAACTGAATTCAGACGAGGATTATTTTCGAGAACGGTACAACGAATCGTCTTCTTTCTCTAATAATTTAATGAAACGTCAAAGCTTCCGCGCTTCGCGCAGGAGGGGTTGGGGGGTTGGGACTACATTTAGACAAGAATTAAGAGTCGAGAACGGTACAACGAATCGTCTTCTTTCACTAATGATTTAATGAATCGTAAAAGATTTCGCGCTTCGCGCGGGAGGGGAAAACTTAATTCAGACGAGGATTAAGAGTCGAGAACTGTACAACGAATCGTCTTCTTTCTCTAATGATTTAATGAATCGTAAAAGCTTCCGCGCTTCGCGCAGGAGGGGCCGGGGGGAGGGCGGTGAAAATGAATTCAGATGAGGATTATTTTCGAGAACGGTACAACGAATAGTCTTCTTTCTCTAGTGATTTAATGAATCGTATAAGCTTCCGCGCTTCGCGCGGGAGGGGGACAACTGAATTCAGACGAGGATTAAGAGTCGAAAAATGTACAACGAATCGTTTTGTTTCTCTAATGATTTAATGAATCGTAAAACCTTCCGCGCTTCGCGCGGGAGGGGGAAAACTGAATTCAGACGAGGATTAAGAGTCGAGAAATGTACAACGAATCGTCTTGTATCTAATGATTTAATGAATCGTAAAAGCTTCCGCGCTTCGCGCAGGAGGGGCCTGGGGGAGGGCGGTGAAAATGAATTCAGATGAGGATTATTTTCGAGAACGGTACAACGAATAGTCTTCCTTTTCTAGTGATTTAATGAATCGTAAAAGCTTCCGCGCTTCGCGCGGGAGGGGGACAACTGAATTCAGACGAGGATTAAGAGTCGAGAAATGTACAACGAATCGTCTTGTTTCTCTAATGATTTAATGAATCGTAAAACCTTCCGCGCTTCGCGCGGGAGGGGGAAAACTGAATTCAGACGAGGATTAAGAGTCGAGAAATGTACAACGAATCGTCTTGTTTCTCTAATGATTTAATGAAACGTAAAAGCTTCCGCGCTTCGCGCGGGAGAGGGGAAACTGTATTCAGACGAGGATTAAGAGTCGAGAACTGTACAACGAATCGTCTTGTTTCTCTAATGATTTAATGAAACGTAAAAGTTTCCGCGCTTCGCGCGGGAGGGGTGAACCTGAATTCAGAAGAGGATTATTTACGAGAACGGTACTATGAATCGTCTTCTTTCTCTAATAATTTAATGAAACGTCAAAGCTATCGCGTTTCGAGGAGGAGGGAGGGGGAAACTCGCCCCTCCCTGCACCCAACCCCCCCCCCGCATTACGTCACTGCTGGTCACCATTACGTTCCAATTTTTGGCTCGCATAATTTCAAATTTGGGCCCCCCCCCCTAAGAAATCCTGGATCCGCGCCTGGCCTGTTCAGCAGCTTCCCGATCACCCATTGCATGCTGCATACCAGGACATGCCAAATCCCTCTTAACTGTTGATGGGCAGAATGGGCAATCTTGGTGTAGTTAAGGAACGGAGAGTAAGGAGGCAGGAGCTTAACCTGGGGGGGGGGGGGCGTTTCACAAAACTTGTCATCAGTGACAAATGAAACTTTATGTTATAAGCTACTGAAATCCTTGCTTCTGATTGGTTATCAGCAAATTTTTTCACTGATTTTTGTCATTTGTCATTGAAAAAAAGGCTTTGTGAAACGCCCCCTGGATGAGTGGTTCAACGTAAGGCGGAAGCTGAGCCCTCAAGGGTGGTCTGGCATTGTCGTCGTTCAAAACGACTGGTTCCCATGAACGGAATACGATGGAACACTGGCGTGCCGTTTTTGCGAGGAAGTCCTCGGAACTGGCTCTAGTAGTCGTCTCTCATGAAACATCGTGGTGCACTAGGCCTACCTCTCCTGAAACAGCAACTATCGTAACGTTGCACCTCTTGCCACGTTGCCCATCGGTTACCTGTTACATACAGTTTGTAAACATTTGGAAGGAACTGGTACATATTATGCTAGGATACTCTTTGTAGATTTTTCTTCTGCATTTAATACGATAGTTCCTGGAACCTTGGTGAAACAAACTAAGCAGTGTTGTGAATCCCAAATTATGTCAATGGTTAAGGGATTTCATGACAAACATGGTGCACCAAGTACTTTTTGGAAATGTTAGGTCCCAAGTTAGACACAGGCACTTCACAAGGATGTGTGCTCTTGCCCATCATTTATACCTTGCTTACTAGTGATTTCTCTTGCTCAAATGGTTCACCTTGTCACGTAGTAAAGTATGCAGATGACAAGTCTTGGTTCATTGGCTTGATCACCAACAACGATGACGTTGCATATAGGGATACCGTTGATAAGTTTGTTTCTTGGAGCGAAGATAATTCACTTGTTCCAAATGCCACAAACCCTCATGAAATGATCTTTGACTACCGACAAAATATTGGCACAAATCACTTGTCCCTGTACATTGATGGGAAAGCCATACAACAGGTTGCTGAATGTAAATACCTATGAATTGTAATTGATAACAAACTA